GTGCCAATGCCGTGGGCCCCCTCCCTCCCCGGCCGGCGGCGAGGGTTTGCCGCTGCCTTTTGGGGAGTGCCGGTGCCTCGCTGGGCTCCCGCTCGCCTCCGCTCGCTTCTGCTCACTTCTGCTCGCTTCCCCCAGCCAGCTCGCTTCCTCGGCCAAAACTTTTGCACACCGGCTTTGGAAATGTGTTGGAAATGCCCGTGTGGGGTTATGCCCCTAGGCATGGGCACGCATGTATATGCACGCGCGTGTGCGATGCACGCTCGTGTGACCCTCCGATTCCCAGCTGCCTGGACCTGCCTGCCCGCACGGGGGGCACGCCTGGGCTGAGCCCAGGAGCTGGCGGAGGCGGGGGGTGCTTCGAAGGCAAACTGCAAAGCGCAGGGAAAAAAGCAAAGCAAGCCGCCGACGACAGCAGCAGCAGCAGCATAATTGCATCACTGTAATAGTATCGGCGCTGAGCGCAAGCCAGGCTAGTAAAATTGTCCAGAAAATGAGCTGTACTAAAGTGCCTCCAGTTAGCAGCACCTGCACGCCTTCTCTGGGTGCTTGAGGCTATTTGTATTTTTAGAAGTCTCTCTTAATTATAGAGCAAAGAGTGTTAGAGGGAAAATGGTGTGTATTTAGCAGCATTCGTTCCCAGACAGTTTTGCAGCAAATATGAGCACAAAATCACCAAATACGTGTTTTTCTCCCCTCTGCACTTGTGATTTTGAACCACCTGTTTGTTTTGCAGTGGTGTCAGCGAGTGAGGGCTGGATTTTTTCTTTCCCGTTCTTAGAAAGCATGGCGATGACTTTGCTTGCGTGTGAAAAGGATGGGAAGTGATCCCCTTGCCTTCTCGCAGCCCCTTGTGCAACCTCAAATCGACCCCAATCTCATAAAGGGCTGCGAGACCTCCCTGCTCCCAGCCTGGGGGTGACACCGGTGGGGACAGGGGACTCGCGTGCCAGTGCTGGGTCTCTCGCAGGCACCAAAGCTCCAGGGATGTTTTACAGCTCACTGCAAAAAAAACAAAACCTGCAACAACTCATTTTGCTTCTATAAAGCTCCTTCCCCTCATCCCCTTCTCAGCCCTAGCAAAACTTTCCGGGGCCTTTTGTTCTGAACAGGAGGTGAAATTTCCTTTGTGTGAGCACAAAGCAATGAAGCCACCAGAAAATAATGAAAACAAGACTAAAAAAAATAAAAAAAAAAACCCAAAAACCCCTCGCCTGCTCCTTTCAGGCCTGGAATAACAGCGAGCGTTCCCATCCGCACCGGATAGGCTTAATAAAACACCGGCTTTGCTGGGGGAGGCACCTTAAAGGCCACTTTATTTCTTGCCTCTGATCTACAACACACTTTGAAATCCTGTATTGCCTCTGCTGCTCTTTACCCAGAAGAGTTGCTTTACCTACGAAGTCAAGGTGGATTTTTTTCTGAGCCCTGAAATGAACCTGGGGGATATGGCGAGTCCCCTGGGACCAGCCGGGGCAGGATGGCAGTGTTCCCCCCGGGGCTGCGCGGCACGGTGCTGTGGTGCTCCGTGATGCTCCGGGCACGGCCGTGGCTTGCTGCGGGTTCCCCCCTCTCCTCGCCGGCTGGCCGAGGCTGCAGGG